GCACGGAGCACAGGATAAAGGAGAAGACACGGAACGGGAGTTGGGATCGCACGGGGGGATTTATTGTTGTTCGGATTGTCACCACTGTAAATAAACACTGTTGCACTGTAGAGTCCTGCATTTTGGGTCCTCCTTTCCCCACATCCCCACGGTCTGCCAGCGAGACCGTGACAGCCGGGGTGTGGAGCGTCGTGTGTCGCGTGTCGCGGCGAGGAGAAACCAGCCGCATGAATGTCGGAGAACTAAAGTGCAATTATCAGGCTATTACTGTGGAAGAACGGCTGGGAGGGGAAGAATCATACAGTTTTTCTGGAGCGTTAATTTGATTTCTATCAGCGCCGTTCTTTAAGCCTCTCTTCCTCTTTAAAATGCCAGAGGAGAGCAGACATATGTAATGTTTCTTTGTTTTACCACAACCTTCTCACTTCTCTACTCTCCTTTTATCCCTCCACCTGTTCCCACTCCTACCTGTTCTTCCTACCGCCTCCCCCTCCCTAAGCTCCCTCCAAAGTACAATCTGCAGTGCTACCTCCTTTGCTCTTCCTCTGAGTCTTTGCCTACATTCTGCATTTCGTCACCCCAGCAGCCCTCCTGCCCCAGAGTACCCCTCGGGCTGTGTTCATCTGTTAGTGCAAAAGGGAGGTATTCTTTGGCAGCATCTGAGGGTTACGCGATGTGCTTCTGTGTCTGAGTGTGACTGTGTTTAGGAATTTGCCTGGAAATATGAGTCAAGGCAGAACGACTTGAGCCAGTGCAGGCTGTGATCACACATAGCAGCGACTTAGTACAGCAGGATAATCAAACAAATGTGACTGTTAGGAGGGGAAAAAAACATTTCTAACTTCAACTTTTGATACATCTGAAAAAACTAGTTTCTCTGCTTAACAACACAACATAAGCATGGCAAAAAAGTCAACTATAGACATAATCAGTGCGGTACAAGAAGCAATGTGTGGGTGATGCGGTCGTTACCTGCAGGAGGTGTGCCCCTAGGTGCTGCTCAAACATGTCAGTCGCCAGAGAATGAGATGAACGTCTAACTGCAGAGAAAAAGGAGACAGACATTGTCATAAAATGCTGGCGGGCAGCATTTTATACCTGTTGATATTATAGCAGGTGAGTAGATTTTGTTAATTGATCATGAGCAGGGCTTTTTCAGTGCAGAAATTTGGGTTTCTGTAGGTAAGGTGCGTGTTTTTATTACTGTAGTATGACAAAATGCTAAAAAAAAAGTCTCCATGTTTAGTACTAGACAGTTAAGATCTAAGATCACATATTACAGTTAGAAAGGTCATGCTCTTGGTCAGTGTAACCATCAGAAGCAGCTTAATTAGTCAAAGCTGCATAAATAAAATACAAACGTCTTAATATGTAGGAAATCATTTTGCCGGTCGGGTTTAAGCCACGCTGATGGATTAATTTCCATTTTTTTGGATGAGTTAATACAGCTTTGAGGAATAAGTGATTACACAAATTGATCTGGAAATAGAGGATTTTGCATTAACGTGGGATCTCTTTCACAACTTTAAAATCTTCAGCAAAATCAAAAGTGAAACTTGAAGCAATTATGTCTGATAAAAGAAGAATTTACCGTGCTTAAAAAAAAAAAAGTGCACATAAGGTGGAGCGCTGCGTGACGCATACCACTCAATCTCTGCCAGGCATACAAACAAACAAGCAAACACACACACACACACACACACAGTGTCTGCATCACCACTCTTAATGCATCCCAAACACAAGCTATCAGAGCTGCTTCAGTGCCAAAGTGGCGGTGTTTACCAAGGCAATTACAATACAAATAGAGTTGGAGGTGGTTAGGTGGAGGAGGAGGGGAGGAGGGCGAAGATAGGTATGAGAGGAGCACAGAGGGTAGGGAAAATGAAAAACCTTAAGGAAGGAGAGAGTGATCACTTTCTCCAAAGCAAACCTGGGCATGGGGGTTGGGGGTGCCGCCACTGACGTGGAAGATTAATTTTGCAATCAGGTCTATTTACTGTTTTATGTCAGAAGGAGTGTGTGACGGTGTTTATGCACCTGCAAGTGTGTGATTGCAAAAGTGGGGACCATATGTGAGAACTAATCTCACTCCAACAGGGCTGCTTTTGAACACAATGTTCCCCGTCCAATGGAGACAAACTGCGTATGTCCGTGTGTACCCAAAATATGTGTGTATAAGAGCATATAAATGTATGTACGCGTGTGAGTCTGTGTGCGTGCCTTTAAGGATCATTGGATATCTGCGCGTGTGTATGTGTGTGTCGCTGCAAGGCTGCGGGAAATCAATACACGTTATGACAGGAAAATGAAAGCGCTGCTGTGGGTTACAACTGAACACAGAGGGGGGATCGGAACACACACACCCACCAACACACACACACGCATATACAATCACACGCACATATATATTGCCCAGCTGCCTGCTTGTGATGTGGGTTTGTTGAATAGAAGAGGGAGGCATTCCATTAGAGCTATAGACACGCACATACACACACTTTAGGAATACACACAGCAATGAATTCTCATGCACAGACTACACAGCAGCAACATGCTCCCCGATTAAACAACACAAATACCCGTGCACACACACAAACTCTCTCTCTCACACACACACATACACACATAAATACAGAGTTGCCGGACAAAGCCACAGTGGCATTGTGAGATTGGGGTCCCCCTGTGTGACAGAGTGTGAATTTAAATAAGGCAAGTCCATTCAGGGCTATGAAAGGGGGTCTGGTGCTGGGACCCTTCAGCCTAGTCAGTCCCTGCCTGGAGGGGGATGGGGAGCCCATTTCGCTCTCTGCCTGCCTAGCAGGCTCCCTTGTGGGGCAGCGATGCAGCCGCAGTGCTAGGAAGCTTGGAGGAATCAACCCCCGTGGTAACCATATAAGAATTAATCAAAACAGAAGACAAACGCACTTCGATTGTTGTGAAAGTGTGTGTGTCTGTTCTGGCTTTCGTGCCACAGAACCCTGGAGGGGCGACGGTGATGGTGGGTGATCAGTTGTGCTGAGTAGTGTCAGCGGGCCCAAGGAAACGCTGAATGTGACATGAGGCCAGCGGGGCTGACAGATGAGTCACACCCCTGCACACACACGCAGACACAAATACACAGAGGACCATTTATTAAAGACTGCCACAGTACAATAGGGCAACCAGGAAACCAAAACACTGGACCTGATGTGTGTGTGTGTGTGTGTGTGTGTGTGTTTGTGCGCACAGCATGCGCGTGTGTGGTGTATTCTTGCGCACATGTGAAGGGAAAGAGTCTCACAGCGTTGATGGTATCACACTCTGAGAACAAAGATCCCTCTGTAGTGCTACTGTGAACCCCTACTTCTCTATGTGTGTGCCCGTGTGTGAGTGAGGGCTTTGCATTATTCTGTGTGTATACCTTAATATTACAGCTTCTATAATATTTGATGTCATTATAAATCATAATTCAAACAATAACATATTATTTTACAACTTAGATCTTATTTTGAACTTGCTGTGCATGCGCCTTATTGGTAGACCAAGTCAAAACAGATGACAAATGATTGGACAGACATTAACAAACCAACAATGTGGCCACGTTATTAAAGTCTGATCTGATCTGCTAAATGTTTCATTTAGATAGTTTTGGACAACACATCTCATCATTGTGCCTGAAAACATCATTTGTAGTTGAATATTGTTGTGGTCAAACAAGATTTTGGAATATTTTTGTGAATCTTAACTCTTTTGTACAGACAACTGGACGTTATTCCCTCTTGTTTAAGCATAAATATATAACCAAGAGAATTTTGCCCCAAAAGATCACCTTCAGCCAAGAAAGAAAGTGGTGGCACTCAGTGTAATAAAAGTTTAATTTGCCAGATTCCTGTATCTGTGACTGCTGGCCCAGCTGAAGCGCTGGAAAGAAAGAGGGCTTCAACTCAACTCCTAAATCAAGAAAGTGGTCTCGATCATGGGTGTCAAACATGCAGCCCTCAAAGAGTCAAAACACAGCCCGCTGGAATTTTTTTTTGCTAAATGTGAAAATTGCAGAAAAGGAGGGCGTCATGTTTGACCTTTTCAATGAATTTTGCACCAGGAAGCATTGCAAGTCGCTAAGAATAGATCGTGTCCTGAACCGGGACCTGAAACGCTACATTCACCCAATGCAGAGGCCTAAGTAACTGTCAGTTTGACATGCTTCCTATTAAAAAAGACACTGCACATGTAATGCTACAAAAAGTAATGACATATATTATGATGAGTATATGTGCATGTTTGGTTTTACTGGTCCGGGCTGTTTGAGCTTTATGTACTAAAATTAGTTTGACATCCCAGTCTTGGTTTCCTGCATGAACTGTTAACTTGTTTAAAAAATGTGTGACTGCCTGATTACTCTTTTTTTGATCCCTGATCTCATCAAATCCTTCAGTTTTTAACCATAAAAAGATGTTCAAAAGCAATAAAACCTGACTTCAGTTAAGATGCGTTAAATTGCAATTCTCCTTTAAGTGAGTTTGTGCGAATAAACACCGTGACTTGTGTGCAGAGCTGGACGCAGGGCTGGCTGAGGTCTTTGATCGAGCTGTTCTGTCACACTCCGATTCCATTAGCTTCCCGGGACTCTGCTAAGAGATTTAATTCCATTGTGGGAATAAGAGACAGAATGGGACAGGGCAGGAATGGACACGTTAATTATGATTTGACTCAGAGGTCAACTTGCACGGACTCCCCAGCGCTTCACAAGCAGAAAAGATTTGAATGATTGAATGAAAAAATTTGAATGATTTTCATGATACTTTTGTCTAATACATAATTTAGTCCCAGTTCAGTCCAGAGGAATGGCCACACACACACACACACACACACAGCCAAGCATCCCCACGTGGGGGGCTGTAGACACACAGACTCCACCCCCACAGTGTCAACCTCTTTTAACCAGGTTAGGATGTTACCATGGGAACCAAACAGTGAACCCCCATTTCTCTCTCTCAGTTTCCTCTCTCTGTGTCTTCTTATTCATCTCTGTCTCTTAAGTTTGGCTCTGCCACCGCAGCTTCACCCTTTCAAAACAAGAGCCCGGTCACTTGCCAAGTTGTTTACTACCAATCCAAATGTGATGTTTCGGCCGTTCGACAGACAGCGAGAGAAAAAGTGACCCTAATCGCAGCGTCCTTCTCTGGCACAATTATCTTCTCACGCCGACATCCATCCCTCCCTCCTTCCCTCTATCTGTCCTCTATCTTTCCGTCTCTTCTCCATCGCTCCCTCACTCCTTTTGCGGTCGAACATAATTTGAGTGCAATTAACTTCCCTTAAAAGCCCAGGCTGCTTTAAACGCTGTGAATTAGAGGGGAGGCAGACGCAGGGAGATCGTGAAGAGGTGGGGGAGACAGAAGGGGAGGCGAGGGAAGACGAAAGCAATGAAAGCAATGAGGGGGAGAGTGAGAGGGAGAGCGAGAGAGAACGAGCAAGTGGAGGCAGAATGAAAGTCAATGTCACCAGCGCCGGGGAGGGGAGAGGTGTGTTTGACCTCACTAGCCGAGACAGTAAAACACTTCAGCTGGCCCTGTTGCTGGCGCTGACTTGTCATTGCACTGTGCCTTGTGAAAAAGGCAGAGGGGGTTCTCCAGCTGCCCTGCACACCTGTTACAGGTTGATATTTTCCCCCCTTTTCTGTTTTATTAAACAAAAATAAAAGTAGAAAGTTAAATTCAGACAGGAAATTTTAAAAGATATCTCTGTCTTACAATCAAGTTATTTTCTTTACATTATTATTATTATTATTATCATTATTATTATTATTATTATTAGTATTATGTTTGCACTTACTGTTAACAAACCCTACATTATCTTTAACTAACATGTAAAAGTAAAAACTGAACCAAAGTGCAAAAGATACTTTTGGACTAATTTATATTCTGCTGAACCTAATAAAATGTTTTTTTTTTACATTATGTTCTTATTTGTTATTTTATAAAAACATTAATACTGTCTGCATGGTTGGGTGTGGTTTATTCTTGCTAGTGTAGAGCAGCATAATACAGAGTGTGTCAGAGGT